CTCAGGTCAAATCTGCATTTCCCATAGGAATGCATTGAAAACCATTTGATCCGTATCTGCTGTTTTCTGTCCATAGAAACTAATGGGAAGCTGCTATTCTGCCTTCGACCACTAGAGGGGGATATTTTGTTTCTTTTTTTTCTTAGGTCAAGAAAGGTTCAGGGAAGGCAGGGAAAATACAGTCCAGGCAGTACCAGGCAGTCTGAAGACTCCCAGTCCACTCTCTAAACGCTGGGAGGAGTGAGGAAGCAGAGAGGCACCCTTTTCACTGGCCAACAGTTAACTGAAAGTTCAACTTTTGCACTTTCCCTGCCTCCCACATGGTTTTTTTCAGTTCTTAACTCAAATCTAAGTATGTAAGTCAAGTCAATATTTTCCTATGAGAGTGGTTCTTAAGTCAAAATGTTCTTAACTCAAGCCGTTCTTAAGTCAAGACCCCACTGTACTGCCTTTCAGGTATTTAGCAAATGGGTAAAGTCAGACTGACAACTATGACAGATGAAAATTTAAAATTGTAGAGAGACCAATTAAAGCTAAACTGTATTCACACACTGTGTGCAACTATGTGTGCAACTGTTTATTGGATTTATTGCACTGTGTGTAATAAATGATATTGGTATTTAAGGTTTACTATTAAAATGATAACCGTCAACTATGAATGCTAGAAGAGCTCAACTTAAAAAAAAATTAAAAACAAAATTTTATGGTGAAAGTGGGAAGCATTCTGCACTATGAAAGGCAATTGGTCTTCAAGGACATTTTTGAAAAAGTCGAATTCTTTTTCTCAAGCCAGGAACTCTGGAAAGGCATTATCTGTTATTGTTATTATCATATAGTAACATTTATTTATTTATTTATTTAATTATCATCATCATCATGAACAACAACAAGCATTTTGACATCACTTTTGGATTATACAAAGCACATTTTATATATCTGCCCAATAATTGATATAGCCACCATTCCTGATTCATGTCAGTATGACTGTTCCCAGTTTGCAAGCTGGATGTGGGCACAATGCTGAGCATAGGTGTAGGCAGGTATTTGTAGGGTGTACATAGCTCTGCTTCACAAAGGTAAGAAACTCATGTTGTACAGAGATATTTGTGTAAATTGAAGAACCCTCTGCAGAAAACACATGCTACATTTACTGTACATACTTATTATTGGCTAGAGGTCTTCCAATTAGCTTATGTCCAGTGTCATAAATCACAGGCTGATTTGCCACTCCTTGAAAAGTCACTGCTTGTAACCCACAGGGTGTATCAGTTGTGTAAATGGGTGCATGGTGAGGGATGCCAAGGGCAACTGGTTAATTAGTTGCAATTTGCTACTAGTCCAATAGGACTTTGACCAGTGTATACTGTACGCTTTTAAAATTTTAGGGAATGGCTACTGTGATGCATAACAGTTTAATAGGCGGAACAGGAATATATATTTATTATATCTCATTAAGGTGAACTCTTCTTGTTGTTTAGTTATTTAAGTTGTGTCTGACTCTTCGTGACCCCATGGACCAGAGCACGCCAGGCCCTCCTGTCTTCCACTGGCTCCCGGAGTTTGGTCAATGATGAACTCTAGCATACACCAGGTCTGCTGCAAGAGGGAGTCCTTTCTAGCTTTGTTGCTGAAGAAGAAAAATTCATTTCAAAATACCCTGATAAAAGAAATACTCTTATCTGCTTCTCTTATACTTCCAGACTTGTTTTTTTAATCCCAGCAGCTGGCAATAGGCGCCAGTTGTTGAACTTATTTTACACTGCAATCATCTTTATTTCCCTTGCGTTCAACTAGGCTGACACCTCAAGTAAACATTCGCAGGGTTGCAGTTTTAAGAAACCACAAAAGCTTTTAAGTCGTTGGGGCTCCCATAAACGTCCAAACTCCACGTCAGGAAGAAAGAGGGTTCTGCGCCCTTTAAAAAAATTGGACCCATGGAAATATCACCAAATATACAAAAGTCGGATTTTTTACTTTGTGGGGCCAGGAGGCTCCCTTTGTGTTCTTGGGAAACGTAATTTATACGCCCTTAAACAACGCGCCCGCGCTTGCGTCGTTGCCGAGCAACCGGCCGCCTCTCAGAGCCGAGGAAACTTCTGAGGAGGAACGGAGAGAGGGACGTCTTCCGCGGCCGGAAATGAAGTACCCAGCGGAAGTGACGTGGAGAAAGAGGGAAGCCTGGGGCAGCGGCTGGAGAATGTCTGAGGGGCTCTTCGGAGCAGAGGCTGTGTCGCGCCTTCCCGGTTTCGCTAAGCGGGTGCTCGTGACTGGCGGCGCGGGCTTCATGTAAGTCGCCGGGTGGGAGGAAACTTCGGTTTTCAGGGCTGCCCTTTGGAAGGCTTAAGGAGGGGGTAAAGCCCGTGGGGATTTGGCGTGCCTGAAAGCATGCGGAG